GGTATAGCAAAATATCTATTTGAATGTCTATCAATGCTTCTATGTCACATTGAGGTAATCAAGGCTGCACATTCTGTGTGTTCATCAGACACGTCTTACTATAAAGATATGGGTTCAAGCCCCAGTTTGGGATATTCAGCTCACAGTCTCGGCTGCCACTCCCATATAGTCCTGGGGGAAGTGCTGCTTTGTTGTGGTTCAGGATAGAGATATTAAAATCAAAGCCCCATTTGCCAGTTCAGATGCATGCTACAAATCCCATGAGATGAATTGAAAATAGAAGGGAGTTTTATTTGAAAAGAAGGGGAGTTTCTCTCTATATCCTGACCAGTAACCCAGATAAATTGTTTATTCACTTCATAGTTGTTTGTTAGGCTTTGTTCGATGCAAATTGGCTACTGCGTTCACATACAAGTACAGTCAATACACTTTACAGCAATTATTTCTGAAGTGTTGCGATATTTCAAAGTTATGATCTCCATTTATTAGAATTATGTAAGTATATAGTGAGATAATGCACAGAAAAAGCCATGCGCCCAAATAATCAGTGCCAATGTTTATGCTTCATATGAGACCCCATGCCTCCTATTCCTCTCTAACCCTGCTTCCTCACAGATCATATTATAATGATTTTCCAAGGTCTTGCACTTTTTAAAAACTACTTACTCAGAAAATACTACTGCACTTAAATATAGCAGCACACTTATTCATAGTAAGGAACATACAACATAGGCTGCTCAACTTTTATAACAGCAAAACTATTGACTGTTAATTTCAATGGCATTTTGCACATGTAGACCTTCATCACACAAGTGTGTCGGAATTCTCCAAACAAAGCACAGGGAAAGAGAAAGAAGATAAGTTGGTCACCAAATCATTTGACGTGCATTTAATATATCAGAATTAATGAAAAGTTATGATTGCTTGGAAAATAGTACCTCTATGGCAATTCTTGCACCAACACTGCAGTCACAAATTCCTTTGTATTTATAAGTGACTAGAAGTTTTAAGCACTTGCCATTTACAGTGACAAGCACAAGACTAGGAACATGGCTAAGATTTTATATATTATTTAAAAGACCTTACATCAGCAGCAAACAAGCTACTTATAAATGTCTCAGTCTCAAATCTGCAGACTTTATGAGAAAGAATAAGCATTCAATTATGATGACTAAAAGTAAACACTGAATAAAACATACAACTATTAGCATTGTTTAAGTTGACTATGCAATTTGTAAACTACTGCTCAGAAGCAACTTTCACTCTTATAGAGTGTCATGATATAAATACATCAGACCTGCTGTCACACATTATCTTTATGTCCTACCACGCTTATTGTTCTGCCGTACAATAACGGCAAATCAGTATTAAGAGATGATCTTGGCAAACTGGAGTCAGTCTGTGCCAACATGGGAGACACTCTGGAAAAACAGTCCAGTTTAAATAAGATTAAAATCAGAAGACTAGGCCACATGCCAAAAAGGGGCAGGAGTCCTCTGGTGCGCAGCTTAGAAACAACCGCATTTAACAGCTTTGGTAAGCGTTCCAAGAATTAGGATAAGTGACACTGTCCCACTCTCTTTTCTCACAAATTGGTTTGTGTGTGCACGTGTGCATGCACATAGGGAAGGGAAAAGGAGAACGAGCACAGCGTTAAATTTAAAAAAAGGGAAATTACTATATACGTACATATCTCTCTCTCTCTCTCTCTCTCTCTCTCACACACACACAAACACACAAAGTAGCATAGAAAATTTATCTACAGGTTCTATAATCTTGCAATGAAAAGAACATACTCACAATAAGAAGATAGCAGTACTACTGAATTTGACAATTCCTCCAAAAACTTAGGTTAACAGTGTATTTAATATTTATTATATTAACAGTACCCAGATGTGTTGCCATTAATGGTGACATCTTTGTAGCTGGGTATTGGGCTACCAGCTTGTGGCTTTTAATTACTGATTTGTGAGATACCGCTCTTCAAAATTTTGTTCAATTAAAAAGGTGGTATCTCCCTAGGTATTTGAATGCCAGAATTCCTGTAGCTCAGTAATGACCAATATGACCAATTTTATTATTGTTTTTGGTTTTGGAGGGATTATTATTAGGCGTGTGGAGGAAGGAAACTTGCCCAAGGTTTCGCCCTCTGCCTGGAATTGAACTCAGGTCTCTCACTTGCAAAGCGAGTGCTCTAACCACTGAGCTACAGGACTCCACCTGAGCTACAGGACACATGGAACTCAGTTATGTTTGGATACTCTGAAGCACGGTGATGGTTTTCATATGTGTAAGACACCTGGATGACCAAAACAAAATCCCACAGGACCCTCCAAATCCCACACTGTATATAAAACATAGGGCTTCCTGATGACTTCTTCAACACTTGGAGACATTCTTTCGAATATTCAATACGTGCAAATTATTTCACTTTTGCTAGTTAGGTTCCATTTGCTTTATGATTCAAGTTGATCTAAAGGGACCATCTTGATGTTGCTATTTCAAAAATAGGCGAGGTCTTTCTTCCAATTTTCCGCAGTGATGCTCATCAGGATTTACCCTTAAATTCAATTTAATTGGCCACTCATCCCATTATTGTTTTTGGGAAGTTGTCAGCTCATGCATTTGCTGTATTACATTAATTTAATTCTGAATGCATTATATTTTGGAAATCTCTTGGACATGTTTGTTTCACATGAAAGGCACTATATAAAAGCAAGTTATTATTGCTGCAACTCATTCAGTTTGTTTTAATTCATGAGTTGCAGACATAACTGCTAGCTCAATACCCTTCTAGGCATTTCCCAATATTCCAGAATACAGGGTTGATAACAAAGTAAGTTTTTTTTTGCTTAACTTATTATCCTTAAGCAGCCGAGTACAATAGAAAAGTTTAAATTACCCTCCCTATGAGGAAGGTTATCCTCATTCATTTGATGTTAATCCACAATGATTGTGGGACATTGTTGTGCGCAATTGGCTGCCATGTTTCGCCCACAAAATACAGTCAATCCAATTTACAGTATATTCTGTGAAGCGCTTTGAGACCTCTCGAAGACATGATAAGGTGCTATATCAAATGCAAGGATTATTATTATATTATTATTTGCGTAATGTCCTCTTTTAAAGGACCCAGAGACAGGCAGCTCGATAAGTGAAGAGGATGATTTCTATTCAAAGAACAAAGATGATAGTTTCAGAGAAGTTGTCTACCTTTCTTCATTATTGACAACCTCTACAGATTGTAAAATAATGAACAGATAAGATGTGGGAAAGGATCAGGAAGGAGCAAAATCTGCAGCTACGAGAACACACTAACCAATTTTCCCATCATCTACTAGATCCAAATGACAACATTCTTAATCATAAGCATTTATGAAGAACTCTTCACATAGAACAGTGGCAAGGACAGACTGAACATGGAGGGGGAGGAGCACAGCTAAATTGCACACAACAATTTCCCTTACACAGCCATGAAGTGAATGACCAATTTTATTTGGAGGATTGTTGGCCAGGACACCAGGAACAATTGCCTTGGAAAAAGACTGCCTTGGGATCTTTAACATCCACCTGAACATGCAGTTCAGTTTAAGCTCGGCTTAACATCTCATTCGAATAACGACACCTCTGACAATGCAGCCCACCCCCAGCACTGCACTCAAGTGTCAGTATAAACTTTAAGGGATTGAAGTCCTGACATGGAACCTCGACTTCTGACTCAGGCAAGGCAGCTACAAACTGAGGCAAACACACAACAAGCTCCACACTTTGACTTGCTCAATTTAGGCTGACTCTGCAGTGCAGCCAATCAAGCCTTTTGCAGGGCTTTTGACCAAGTGCCTAAATTAGAATCTGTTGGAATACATGGCCAATATTTTTCAGAATGTGTAGTCCAGCTCCAAGATCCAAGCAAGCATTGATGTTGGACTCCCAGAGCCCATCGGCACTGTATCAAATGCAAGGATTATCATTATTGTTATTATTTGTTGCCTCCTTTAAGGTCCATCTCAAGACATTTCTCTTTAACTATGCCTTTGGTTATCTTCCCAGCCCGACCCCCTTGGCCCTCACCCCTCCCAAATCTAACCCCCAGCTCAGGTGCATACCCTCGACTGTTCAGTGTGTTGGGACAATATAAATGCAATTTGTTGTTGTTGTTCACTCACTGAAAGGCTGTTTGTCGGACGTTGCCAAGACAAAATAGCTTAAAATTGTCTACAAAAACAGTTCCTTACACCAGATAGTAATCACTTGTGAAATGCTTGAAAACATCCACATGTTTGCAAAATAATAGTGTTTCTTTCTATGCAGAAATTGTTTACTGAGTGTTCGATGATGAAAACTGCCACTAAGAAAAGAAAGTGCTTTGGTTGAGAACATACGGTTCACATCTCTCAGCAATGAGTGACACTGGAGGTTACGAATTAGTGCTCACTATTAAGTCAAGATTTCAATGACAATTTAGACTCATCCCCACCCCCTTTCCAAAATAAAATTACACAGAAGTAGGATAAAACTCTGTAAATGCTCAAAGTGACCCTTAAATGGAGCATGTCAAATCTGAACCTTTTGCTCATTTCCACAGGCTATAGAATTAACCTTCTTACATTCCATAAAGTAGAGGATACACATTTTAACTGTGGCTTATTTCATACAGATCTTGTGTTAACCTTACATAACTGAACTCAATGAAAACCTTGCAACTGGGATTTTGCCACCAGGCGGAGAATGAATGCTGAAGCATAAAATGGCAAAATGTTATTACTTAGAATTTCCTACTTCTATAGCATGAAGAATAGGCAAAGAGAATCAAATTAACTTAAATATAGATTGTTTAGGAATGAAACAGTAGCTCAACTACAAAATCAAATATGCAGCAGCAGTGCATTGATGTACAAACTAACATGTGGTTTTGAGCATTGGGGTTAAATGCCTTGCTCCTGGCGGTTTAGTTCAGAAAGCTTGTACCTATGTTTTTTGTCCTTTAGTCCAATACTTACATTCTCGTACAGGGCTTGAAGGGTCTCCAGGTCAACTACAGAATTGTCCAAGTTCAGAACAGCTGTGAAAAGGACAAAAGTAGAAAGAAAGTTGTCAAAATGATGACAAGTCGGTTGTCAAAGGGTGATAAAGCACAAAAATGCTCAATGGCTATGTTTGTGACCTACTGGTCAGGTGGCTTATGAGCTTTGGTTGTCCTAAAGCCTGAATTGTGCTGTTGCAAGACTTTGAAACTAGGAAACTGTCGGAGCCAGGTGTCAACAGCTACAGAATTCCACCACACACACAGGCTCCATTAGCACAGCCAAAGCCAAAGATCAGAGGGATGCTTCAAACGAGGCTTTCCAGGCCTGGTTAAGAGAATTATAAAACCAGCACCATAACAAAACAAGCTCATTCCCATCTCTGGTTGGTGTCGACCCCGAGTCTACTAATCCACAATTGAATAAGCCAGTTAACTTCAAGACCCTGACAAGGGTCAAATCCTCTGTACATAAAGCTGACAGTTTTAGTGGAGATTTTGAATATTTCTTTTTCATTCCCACAAATTTCCACACCAGACACATTGGGAGGTCCCCATTTCTCACGGAACTTCGTTATTAATCCAATTGGACTTTGCATCTCTGGAAATTTGATAAGCAATTAATTCAATTTGGATACTGTCAAACATCCAAATGTCTCATCATTACATGTATAACTTGTTTTTGAAACACTTGCAAATCAATTAACTTCAGAAACACTTTAATGCCACCTGAATGACAAAACTTTTTCACAATTTACATTTACAAAGCTTTACGGCTTCTTCTGCAACTTCTGCAGAGTGACACTGTTTAAGAAAATTGTGAAGATTCACTCATCCTAATATGCTTTTACAAATTTGATTTCCAGTAAAAAGGTCTTTGCCATTACATTCTAGTATATCAATTATGACTTGCACAATCTCAGTGTAAACTTCAGCCCAGAGTGAATACTGCAGACATTTTAAATATAAACTAGTCTTGGAAATCTTACAGTTCATTTTGCAAACATTTAAAATCAACTTATTTGCAGAAAATAGCACAGCTAGCAGCAATAATAAATCCAGAAAGCATTTAGAATTTATATTGCCACTTGTGTAGCTATTATTCTTCTTTCATCAAAATATATCCACAACCTTAAATCAAATAAAACCTACTTAGTGAATTCCCATACAGAATTGTTGGCCTTTTTTTAAAAAAAAGAAAGATCAAGCATCTAAATTTTGTTTACTTGCTTTCTGTAATCACGTGTTGTAACAGGAAAGTTGAAAGATTTTCAATTAATGCAGAATTTTAGTGCCAGTTTGCTGTTAATAGCAAAACCACCATTGCCAAAGAGCTGATTAGCATATTGGCCTGAGGTAGTGCCACTTCCAACAGAAACATGACAAGCCCGCTAAAGCTGGCATCGATAATTACTGCCACCAGCAGCTATGCCTTCAACCTGCCTGTGCACCCCAGTTAAGGAGCAACCACCTGTGATGTAGTCACAAAGTGAAGACAAAACAAAAAAATTGTACACACGTAGCTGATTTAAGTGACCAGTTGCTGTAGAAACTGCCCTATCTTCAGTACTCTTCTGAGTGAAGGACGCTACATAAATGCAAATAGTTGTTGCAATATATACGGGGAAATTCTTGTAAAATGTGGGATGAAAGTCATCAGTTCCACAATATCATTGCATTTCAAGAGTACAGCTTGCTGCCACATACTTGGGCTCAAGGTGTAAATTTGCATTCAATTCATCACCTTTTCAGTGTTACGTTACTAAACACCATCAGTTTCAGTATCTGACCATTTACTAAAAATGTAGGTCCTGCAGAAATGATCTTCCTGCTTTAATGTGCAACAGCTTTTGGTGGACACTAGGTGGCCTATTTTCAGGGCGCCAGCCTTAAAGATAGGAAAGTGGTGGTGAAGGCATACATATTGCCTCATTGTCAACACAGTATGATCCACATCATCTTATCCTTATTCTAATGTTCAAAGCTATCCAGACAATAGTTACAATTATTTCAATGCACTGAACAGGATTGAGGCATGTCATGTAAGATAATGAATGAGATGTCACGTGGCAAGGATGGAAAAAGACAATAAAACAAATACAAGCACAATTTTCAGAAACTTGACACTTTTCCATTAGTGAAAGAAATTAGCAAATTGCAAGAGCTTCTAACACCTAACCACTTGGAAGATAGGCATTTTTAGCATTGGAAGATGGGTGTAAGGCACTTCCCATTAATGTGAAGCCAAAGTAGACACCAGAAACGAGAGTGTTCTATTGAGGGGTGCTACTCTATTAGCAATTCTGATAGACAACCTCAACCACACTATCAGGAGGAATACCAAAGGAGGATAGGTGATGGAAGCTAATTTACTAATAATACAGTTCTACCATAGAATCATTGAGATTTACAGCCCAGGACGTAGCCATTTGATTAATTGAGTCTGCATCGGCTCTCAGAGCAAGCTGTCGATACAATTTATTATTGTTTTGTTTTTTGGAGGTATTATTATTAGGCGTGTGGAGTAAGGAAACTTGCCACACCATCAATACTCTTCAAGCCTTTTTTTTCTTTCATATACCTGTCTACTTCCCTCTTGAAACTCACAATAGATTCTACCACTACCACCTTCCATATAAAGCACTCAAAAAACAGTGCATCATTTGATGAATAGAAGGCAATCAATAAACTACAACTTTACTTGGAACACAGAGGTTCTCAGTAGAATTTATAACAACTGATTGTCACAGACTGAACAGCAATTCATTAATGGAAACACAGAAACTGCATTCTTCACTCTCTTTTACTGGAGCACAAAGTGCTTCACAGAGTACACTGGAAAGTCAAGTGACTGTGTACCTTGTGGGCGGATAATTAAATAAGTGTCATAATTTCAACACATTTAAATTGAAACTGATCAGGTTAGCTCACGAAACATAACAAATAGTACAAAACAAGAATTTGGTAAACTTCTATACTTTTTCCATAAAATTACCCATTTTAAGTTTTTGGTAATTCCAAATGCAATGCAACATTGTTCTGGTATGAAGTGAAACCTGCTTTAATTGTTTACCTCTCTAGTGAATTTATAACCTGATTCTTTGATGTAAATTTACTAATTAACCAACAAGTACAACTTGAAATCATGTCTTATTCTACAAAACATTTTACTATTTTACAGTATTTCTATAGGGAAATCTTTCACATCACAAAGCGAACTTATTAACTGGATGTGTTCAATGGATGGAACTTTGTGGAGTCCTTTCTGGAGTCCTGTAGCTCAGTGGTTAGAGCACTCGCTTTGCAAGCGAGACACCTGGGTTCAATTCCAGGCAGGGCAAAACCTTGGGCAAGTTTCCTTACTCCACACGCCTAATAATAATCCCTCCAAAACAAAACAATAATAAATTGGTCATTTTCAATCCACGACTGTTTGTGGGACACTGCTGTGCGCAATTGGCTGCTGTGTTTCGTCCACAAATATACAGTCAATTTACTTTACAGCATATTCTGTGAAGCGCTTTGAGACATCTAGAAGACGTGAAAAGCGCTATATCAAATACAAGGATTATTATTATTATTATCATTCCAGGGTCCACATTACAGCTAACTTACCTTCCCAATCCCAATAAAATTGCCAACTTATATGTGGTCAGGTTGCCTCAGACCACACTTTCTATGCACTGCAAAACTGTGGAGAAAGTGACAGCAACAGCAAACTGACCACATAACCAGACAGAATGACAGTTAGTCAGTGCTGGAAATTGGGTTGTAACATTTCCAGTTATTATAATAGTAATCCTTGCATTTGATATAGTGTCTTATCGCGTCGTGAAGATGTTCCAAAGCGCTTCACAGACTGTAAAGTGAATTGACTCTATAATGTGGCAGCCAATTGCGCACAGCAGTTTATTTATTGAAGGGATTTTTACTCCCAGAAAAGCGATCCGCCAATCGACTAACAAAGGGCTCCTACTTACTGCTAGATAAACAGAGGTGTGTAGACTAAGGAAACTTTCCTAAGGTTAGTGCAGATTCACAGGAGACAATAAGCAAAAAACAGGGTTCCCCTGTATTTAGACTACAGATCAAACACAGAACTCTTTAACCCACATTTATAAAGCTGAGACCTGTAAACATGAATTGGCATTTTATTTGCAGTTAAACCATTCCATCACCTCTCTGAGCCTGAAACTATTTTCATTCTATGTCTGCTGCAACACACTAGCTATTCACTTTGCTGAATGCTACTGGTTCACTCTCGGAAATCAGTCACATAAAAGGTTCTCTTTTATGCTGGGATAATCAAACACAGATTCTATAAAGGACCTGAAATATTCCTCCCTACTCTCCAACGTTTCTTTGTAGAGAACTGGTCATTTATTTTTGGAATTAAAAAAATATTAATAATCCTATATTTGATGTACAGTAGCACCTTATCTCAGAAAGATGTCTCAATGAGCTGCACAGCATTAACTGTAAAGTGTAGTGACTGTATTTTTGTAGGAAACACAGCTGCCAATGTGCACAAGGCAATGTGTCTCACAAACAGCCATGAAGTAAATGATCAATTTTTATTTGGGAAATTGTTGGCAAGGATACCAAGAGAAACCACCTTTTTGAATAGTGCCATGGGATTTTTAACATCCACCTGAACAGGCAGATGAGGCCTCAGTTTACCATTTCATCCAAAAGACGGCACCTCTGACAAGAGAGCTCATCTGCAGCACTGCATAGAATGTCATCTTAGACCACAAGTTCAAATTCCCGATATGGGTCTTGTATCTACAATCTTCTGATTCAGATGTGAAACTGATAGCAACTGGTAGCCAGACACACACACATCATCAACAAGATATTTTAGCAAATTGAGTTTTTTTGCAATTCAATTTTAGGAACACAGAAACAGAGGCAAGAGTAGGAACACAGACACAGGGGCCAACTGGTCTGCTTTTGTACAATATCAGCTTATGGTACTTATATTTTTTCAATTTGCATTCCTCCATATCCATTAATATCCATACTTCACATGATTTCCT